CTCTCTCTCTCTCTCTCTACCGGGTAAGGAAGGGCAGGCGGACGCCAACCCTCCCGCACGCGAGCGCGCACCCGCATGTCTAGGTGGGGTTTTCGAAACCCCGACTGAAGGTTCCCCCCAGTCGGCTACAACAGCTCGAAGAAAGATCCCTCTCTCTATCTCTCCTTCTTCTTCCTCTTCTTCTTATTCTTGTTCTTCGTATTCTTCTTCTTTTTCTGCTTCTTCTCACTCCCTGTTGTGTCTCTGATCGTCGCGCAAATTGAACTTGTCTTGCCTGTGCTGCAGCGCTAAGTCCTGCTTCTGGCCTGCACAGTATTGCGCGGTGACATCAAGCAGGTTCAGGGCATTTGTCAGGCTTGATTTTGGCCGAGGACCGCACGAGTAATTTCGGGACTGCGAAACTCCTGGCGAGATGTCAAGCAAAGCCTTAACCTTGACTTGTTCGGACACCAGCTAGGTTGCCGACCTTGCCGTTCAGCACAGGATTTGCTAAAGAATTCCCCCCTTCGCCGGACTTCGAACATGAGGCGTGCATGCCCCTGTTTTGGCTGGCCTTCGGTGTCTTGGCACGGATCCGATGCGAAGGAACCACTCGCCTCAGGGTTATATTCAACTGGAACAACCCCAACGACTGTTGGTGATGCCGGGCAATGCACGGTTCTGAGCGGAACTCCAGGACGACGAACTGCTTAGCCTGACACGAAGTTCATGCTGAACCTTTGCACTTCAGCTCCGCTGTCAATGCCAATGGGCCCCTATTGACGGGATCAGGCTTGGCTGGCGCGTTAACACCTATAGTTTAATATCAATGCAAGAGACAGACCTTCACGATGCTGTTCCTTGATGCAATAGAGACACAAGCGATTACAAGCAGGACCCGTCTGACCTCTTGTCGTACAGGCCCACCGACCGGTCGGCTGCCACCAGGAGCAACGCGGTACTTCGGACCTGAAGAGCCACTACAAGACATCTCCAACTTCTGAAACTGGCAGTACTGTCGCCTTTCGTCTGCTGATGCTGCTCGGTCTCGCCGATGGTGCGATCCTAAGAGCAGCTGCCCAAGTTAAAACATCTTCTGTAAGGGTACTGCATTAATGACATTCAAGTCCTCTCCGACTCCAACGTCTGCGACCACTCTCACCTCAAGCTCCATTCCAAATACCCCTCTCTAGACTGGGGGCAAGTTCTTATACACAGCACCTCTGTGCATTGCCCGCCGACTGCCCCGGCTTCCGGGTAGCCACACGAAGACCTGCAATTGAGGACACTCAGCTGAGAAACTCAACAGAGGCCAAGTCGCAAATTGTCCGCACATTTGTATGCACGCAGACATATCTATCTTTTCCGAAGAATAAATCTTCCAGCGCACAGCTATGTTCCGGAATGAAATCAGAACCAATAACAACCCTGCCTAGCGGTGATTATTCGGCCTTACCGTCTGCACTGTGCTTCGCCGAGGGCTCGAACGACCTGACACATGTGCAGACGAGATCGCCTCTGAAGTGATGACTATTGCAAAGGCCTGGAATTCTTGACGATCGCGCAGGCAAGAAATCTTTCCAGGAAATGTGCGACCTGAACCTGCCAACCGACCAAGGACAGCAGACTTGATGAAATAGGATCTAGCTTCCATGCTGCAACTCCTGGAGGCTCGCGGTGCCAGTCCACAGCCTGTGATACCAGCTATAAGGAGCGCACTTCACAACCTTGCCAAGGCCTGGCCTCCACTTCCGAGGATGCTCGTCCTACAATGCAAAATGGATGTTCCCCACTCTGCCGCGGAAATCTGAAGGGAACGGTCCTGGGAAGCTTTATGCTCATTGAAGCCGGCAGGGAACCCAACTGCGCCCTGTCTGACAGCAGGCAAGGTTTCAAGATTCACAAATTTGGCGCGATTGCCAGTACCTCTGGCGAGGCCACCCTGTGCGTTCGCCTTTAGATTTCTCTGACGGCAGACTTTCGAATACAGTTGGATGCAGTGGGCAGGTGTAATGTGCCAAGGCGAAGCCCCGCATGCCTAAACATCTGCAAACTACAAATTATTCCGTTGCTTGCGTACAAATGATTATTGTTGAAATGTCGGAAAGCGTATTTTCTTCTCCATGTTCTGTCCGGCCTTGAACTGGATGTGGTGCTACTGCCAGATGCGATGTGGCTCGGTTTCGACGGTATGCCCTCCGTCGATACTCACAAACAAGCATCTCTGAAACTGAGAACTGCCAGCCATGCACCTGTCGGGCCGTGGCTGCAAATCCTCTCATTCCAGCCAGCAGCAGGCACTCACCTGCCAGCAGCCACAAGCAAAAGAAGATGCTGAACCTCGCCAGCCGCCAGTCCTAGCCTGACGTTAACGGCCGGGAAGTCACCTCGAAGAATAATTTCTACTGTCCGTCCCTTGCACTTCCTCCATTTGAGTGTGAAAATTTCGAAGGCCTCGCTGTCGGCATTGCACGAAGCCTTTCGCGGAGTCGACCATTCTCCTTTCAATCCAGCAATCGATATATTACACATATAATGTGTACAACGGTGGGGAGTTCCGGCCAAGCTTTTCTGACACATGCGCACCAAGTACAACACGGAACAAACTAGCCTCTGCTTGACACGGCTCGTTCGGAAGAAGACCGCACCTTAGCTACGTCATGTGCACACGGAACATCAATCTTTCGATCCAGGCTGAGATCTCAACCTTTTGCTGAAATCCAACAACATCTTGACTGTCATGTTCCACATCTGCAAAATATCAGAAAGAGGTGGTAAATGTTTGGTTGCCGCCATTGTCAAGACAATGACAAGCCTAGAGAGCCCCCATCGCTTTCGTCGTCGGTATTGCCATCCAGCGAATCGACAGCAAGAACGACCTCAACTTGTCAAGCGAAAAATTTTCTGCAGCATCATCGCAGATCAGTTTGGGCTCGCACGGGGATAGCTTGCACACCAGCACATGCCGTGTGCGGCCTTGGCAGCCTGGCATGTAGACACGGCGCACACAAAGTCCAATTGCGAGTTTTCGGTACAATTATGGAATGGACCACCAAGGTTCACAGAACATCTCAGCTCAGATCAACCTGGTGTGCTGGGCATCGGTCTGGATTGATCTGACAACCTGAACAAACTTTCGGAACATGTGTGTTGCTATTGTTCCTTGAACTCCCAGGCTGGCACTTCACCGAAAACATTGCTCACCAGATCATTCACCTGGCTTGCATGTTGACATGAACACGCGAAGTGCAAAAGCGAATCACTGCCTCCAACCAATCCTCAGGTCGCCTCGCACGAGAAGGCGCAGTGACCGGGCGCTCCTGTTTCTTGAACGATGCTGCCAAGACAAATGCAATCAACCCCGAAAACACAACGGCTCGGCCTCAATTGAGGAAATGCCCGGATATGAGACCATTCAGTCTCGGATTGCAAACATTGGGGCCGGAAAGTCTCTGCCTTTTAGGTCGCACAGTGATACAGAAATGCTGCACCGATGACATGACTACTATTGCATCTGAGTGAACGATGGGTAAACCGGGTGAATTCGTGCTGCTCTGTGTGTTGAATTGCCAACATGCTTTGACACTCGGAATGCAAGCGGCACATTGTATACGTGAGATGACACATGCAAAGAAAAGACGGAGAGGCAAACAACACAAAGAAACACCAGTTAAACTCACATGTTGACCAGCTGCGCAATGGCAGAAGGCATGTGAACCCATTGTTGTTGTGATTGACATGAAGAACACAACACTGAATGATGACCATGATGGTGATGATAGTTTTTGGTCGCTGTGATGGTAACTGTGATGACAATGATAACAATGATGACAATGTTCGTGATGATAGAAACGTTAGATACTGCTGAAATCAACTTGCGGATGTCTTGCATGTTGACAAACTCTGACAAGCGGCTCGCACTTCTCCCAGTAACCTTGAGGACGTATAGTCACTATGGTCATAGTCCTGATAACCAGCCCCAACATATAATGTACTTGGCAGATTGCCACCACCCCTTAATCACATTGGTTCACACTGAACTCCCAAGTATATACGTAATCTCAGTTGGAATGTTCCCAGATCGCAAATGGTCCCACAAGCAGCACAACCGCGAAGGTACTTCGACCCATAGACATCCGTTTCAAATTTCCAAGAGTTTCCACATGTGAAGAGCAAGATATTTTTTCCATTGTCATTATATTCTCCGCACCTTTTGTTTTTTCTCTCGCATTTCTCTCTTTTTATTCTCTTCGCAAAACTCGACCTGTACAACTTTAAGATTGCGAATATTTCCACTGAATGTATCATGTAAATGATCATAAGAATCATAAGAGACCATTCAAGTTATGATGGAGGACAATAGAACTAAGTCACTCAGCAGCGTTTTCCGCCGGAGAACGAAAAGTGTTGACACCGTTCAGGTTCTCCCAGTTTCCAACCAACAACCAAGCAAAACTTCACAAGGTTCAAAGTGTCAAGGCAAAGTCTTCGGAGTTCAAGCAACTGCTGCAGCAAGCTGAAACTTTCACAGGACGCTCGGACACTTCCTTTTTCACACTCGCGGTCTTGAGCCAAGGTCGTAAAGGTAACTTGCAGACACTCTAGGGCTTCCCTGGCTTCTCAAATACTTCAAGCAAGTTCCAGACAAGCAAGCAAGCGCATCAGTGATAACTGCTCTGTTCTTCAGAGCCTCCAAACACTCACAAGACCAGGACAAAGTCGCGTCTCATCAATTGCGCTGCTCCAAGCACTTGCAAACAACAAATTCAAGCGGATATGGGCTCATGCATGCAACATGCTCGCAAACATGCCTTGGACATGAAGAAAACATGCAAAAACACTTCATGCTGCTAAGACTTCTTTCCTGCTTCTGTGCGTGCAAAACAAGCTCTGCAACTGCAAAACAAAACCAAAACCACCTAAGACCAGCGAAGACATCTCCATCCAAAGAGGTTCCAGACTTGGTGCTGAATTTATTTCTTTTTTGGTGGGCGAACGGTACGCAGCCAGGCCATCGGCCGGCAAGGTAGGTGAAACTTGGACTAACAACTGTACTCTTAGTCGGGTAAGCAGGACTATACAGCCGACTCGCGTTCTCGCAATTACAGACGAGTCAACAAAAAGGCCTTCCACTTGCAGGGACTAACCTTCTCAGCCACTCACCACTGTACAGTTTTCAGGTGCCTGCAGGGCTTTGCCTGCTCACTTACCTGGTAGCACCAGANNNAGCACCAAAAGCCCTTCTTGGCCTGGAAGCACCAGAGCCTGCAGCCTTAGGCCCAGTGCTTAGCTACCTCTAGTCTTCTGCAGTTTGCACCTGAGACTCGCCCCAACTATCTTGCCACTAGTTGGGCTCCAAAACTACGTCCTTCGAGCCAGCAACACCAGGTTTCAACTGGTAAGTTACTTCACCTGAGCAAGACACTGGCCTCGCCTGCACTGTTCCTGCCCAACAGCAGGCGGACTACAGCACTAAACCAAAAAAGCCTGAGGAGACAGCCACTTGGGTCAGACTGGTGCTGAATTTCTTTACCCCCTCTTGGAGATGGTGTAGCAACAGGTCTTGCAAAGTCGATAGCCGATTCTCTTCCGGTACTTGATCTGCCACAATCCTCGTGCAGATGAGCAACCTCCCCCTTCCGGTGATGAAGACTTCTGGGAAGTCGGCCACAACTTTCTTGGTGACTTTGTTGTCAGTGGGACACTTCTCTGAGTAGATCGTCTTTCCAATCTCCTTCTGTGTCCTTTTGCACCAAAGCTTCCAGCAAAGATTGAATGCAAGGGTGGTCACGACGGAAGTCACCACATGCAAAAGAAGAAGCGGGTACTCTTCGAAGACCAAGAAGATGCCATCAAGGTAACTCTCGACCATGGCAGCAGAGTATACTAAGACAGTCCTGCGTCTTGAGCTCCCCCTCTCAAATCAAAGCGGCTCTGAGAGGCGGGCGAGTGCTCAAGGCAAGCAACTCAAGATTTTCTTGCACATCTCGACAGTGTAGTGTTGCGTCTCCTTCAGGTCAAAGCTCTCACTATGTGGGTGGCCTCCGTCGCATCTACACTCTTCAAGTGTCTTGGCAGTACATCCATCGGCAGAGAGAAGGATACGCCAGCCATCTTCGAAGGCTCTGGGGGATTCAGAGGAAGCTTTTCTCTGGGTTCCAGGTTCTCTGTCGAGAAGTTGAAGGCATGTCGGTTGGATGCTTGAACCCTTTCTTTGCCATTGAGTGGCCGAAGACGTGCCAATATTGGCATTGGAAGACTACAAAGAACTTCTTGGTGAAGCACCGCCGCGTTGTCGAGACAGCTATTGTGCATGGTTGCTCCCTTGGGTTGGTTGACCAGCGTGGAGTTGCGATCAGAAAGATCTGGAGGGTAGACACAGACCTCCACGTTCTCCGAGAGACAAGTGCAACCACCTGTGCACGGAATCGACGACCAAATGAGCACATTCACTGTCAAGCGGCACAATCGCTCAATGTGGCTCCTCAGCACGGCAACTGTCTCGTCGGCAAGACCATTCTCTCTCTCGGTGATCCTGATCACTTCCACTCCACGCAACTCACAGGCAACCTTGCCCATGTTCGACTCTGCACTCGTGCAGAACTGAACGACAAGCCAAGCAACTGAGGGATCGACGCTTTCAAGTCGACTTTCAAGCTCTTCAAGCACCGACAAGTCAACAACCTTTCCAAACGCTGTGCAGATTCTTTCGTCATCCCATTCTCCTTCTCCTGACTCAAACACCATCGTAGGTGCTCTCTTCTCGACAATCCCAAGCATCTCCAAGTGGCGACCATAACTGATCCTCTGGATCGTACTCTTTGTGAAAATGTCTGCAACATTCTCCAAGCCTGGCACCCACTTGAGCAGCGCACGCTGCTCCCTCAAAGTCTCTTGAACCCAGCACAACCTCAAGTCAATGCGCCGAATCCTCCGCAACAGCCCATACATCGAGCTGATGTTGATTGCGGCTTGCGAGTCACTCTTGACAACCGGAATCGCAGCAAGTCCATAGATATGCTGGATTAAAGCAAACAGCCCCAAACCTTCTTTCATGCCTTCGCAGACAGCGGTTAACTCCACTTCTGCGCTCGAGAGCGCAACTGAGGTCTGCTGCCTTGCGTAGGCCTTGACCGGGCCCCGTCGACGAAAAGCACGCCTCCAGACAACGAGCGCCTCGATCGAGTTATTCCTCTCTGACGCCCAATTGCTGTCAACATACACGACAATGGTTCCCTCGCAACCTTCACAAGACAACAACTGTTCAAAGTGTTGAACCGACATCAAGTAACGCCAGAAAACTCTCAAGCAAGCTTCGTGGACGGCAAGGGGGTTGCGACTGACCTCTGCTCAACACG